TTTGATGCGTGGTTTAAATGTTTGCAGGTATGTCAACATTACCGTGTCGGGGCGGGGACGATGACTAAAACGGGGAACTACAGCGCCCAGTTCAGCTGGACACCGACAAGCGAGAAGTTCGTCTCCATTGAGTTCACCGTGAGCGACGACATGGGAGCATCCAGCATCAGTGTCCCGGATGTCACCGTCTGCGCATGTCAAAATGGCGGCATCTGCGACTTCGATGGCGTCACTGACAGAGTGGAGGGATTCGCGCTCGCCATTTGTATCTGCCCCACTGGTTTCTCCGGAACAACGTGCCAAACAGACATAGACGCTTGCGAAGGGAACCCTTGTTTTCAAGGTATTTTGTTTGATATATTGTCAGAATCACTTCCCATCAAGTCCCATGTATCTTAAACACTAGATGAATAAAAAGTTGCTTTCCAGAACTATATTTATTACAGTATTCGTTTTTTAATTCTCCCTAATCGCTTTCCAGGAGTAAAGTGCATCGACCAGCCTGCACCCCTCTCCCCTGGACAACCCGGCTACACCTGTGGAACCTGCCCATTCGATATGGTAGGGGACGGCGACACATGTGCAGGTATGACTCTGTTTGTTTCTACTACTTTGTTTGTTCCTACTACTTTGTTTCACATAACCGGCCAACCGTCTTTTGGCGCAACACGACAGTGTTTTGGGGTAACTTCTACAATATACAGCTTTAGTTAATAAAGTCACTGGTAGAAACATTGAAGTTTTCAATCACTGTAACTTATTTTGGCAGATTTGAACGAGTGCCTCCTTGATGACTCGGACCCCCGTGTCCACCAATGTGTGAACGCTAACTGTGAGAACACGCCAGGGAGTTATTCCTGTGTGTGCCACGATGGCTTCGCCAAGGAAGCGGACGGGCACACTTGCTTTGGTAAGCATTGTCAGAGTTTTATCATTCCCAATTCACTGCACGTAAAGTTAGATTTACCAAAGGTGGCAAATGTTTGTAAAGTTGGGCATTTACGTAAGTTGTCAAGTCCGGTAATTTTATTTCTAGAAAGTAAATATTTCCTAACTTAACTGACATTTACTACTGCAGTCACTACGGCAGTGGATAGTGGTGCATGTTTAACTCCGATAGGTCTGTTCGTTCCCATTGCACTGATGTTTTTCTCTAATAAATGTACTTTACCTTTTCCTGTAGACATCGATGAATGTCGCGACTTAAACACCAACGACTGCGACCCGATCCACGGGATCTGTAACAACACCGCTGGATCCTACACGTGCTCCTGCAAGGACGGCTTCTACACCACCGACAACGGAAGGACCTGCAAAGGTTAGATCTATTTTTATTGAAAAATACTACAGCACAAAGTTGCAGCGCACTCAAGTAGCTAAGACTTATTTTAAGGTTAGATCTTAGTTATGTTTAAACTTCACAGAAGGGAAATAAAATAATGCTTCGTTTCTCACGTTCCGAACAACTTTTCTTGAAATGGTGGCATAGAGTACCTACTTTAGTCACTTCTTTCAACTCATCATTAATTTTCACACCACAGGCAGCCGAAAATGCACAGCTATATCTGGTATCGTGCTCTGTCCAGAACCATACCCAGGCACATTTTACATAGTCACTGGTGTCCAGAGCTGGTTCAAATCTACATTGTACGTTCTTGGATCCGAGAACCGTGCTTAACCCTAACTCTAACCCCTTCAGGCATAGAACTACATTGAAGATAGGCATGTTTCTGAATACAATATGCACTGAGTTGAATAAACATGTATTTCAATGACGCCATGCGAATGTTACAGATGTAAACGAGTGTGTGAACCAGAATGGCGGTTGTGAACGGCTGTGCATCAACACAAAGGGAAGCTACTACTGTGAATGTGGCATCGCTTATGTGTTGACAGAAGACGGACACACTTGCCAAGGTACATCCAACGGACTTCAAGTTGACAACAATTGAATGACCTTTGTCAAAAAATATCATTCGTTTATGTTACTGTTATACATTGGCCAATTTCTATCTGCTGTTAGGCAGTGAAGAATTCTTACCATGCTTAGACATAAAATAAACACAAGCTCATATGGGGACTCTATGATTTTGCAGAACTGAACGAGTGTGCGGCCGAGCACGTCTGTGAGCAAATCTGTGTGGACAAAGTGGGCTACTACGACTGTGGCTGCGAAGATTTGTTCACTTTGAATCTAGATGGAAACACGTGTAAACGTAAGTTTTACTTGTATTGAGTTTTAATCATTACTTGAAAACCTCTTTTTTGATACTCGTCAATATTCTATGTTTAGGAAATAGGACAGTTTTACTTTATGGAAATAACACTGTTGGAAAACGTTACATTATTAAAAGTGGCTGTACTGTTTGGTCTATGCAGCTATCGCCAACTGTTCGACCAACAACACATGCTCGCCACCTCCCATCGGCCATTGCGCAGTGAACGTGACTGAGTCAGGTGACATCGAAGAGGTCTGTGTCTGTGCCTCTGGGTACCAGCTTCTGCCAAACAACACATGTGGAGGTAGGTAGCAATTTAATCAGTATATTTCAATGCGACTACCATACTTTCAATGGGAGCCTTCTGATGTTAGAAAAACGTATGAATAAGCATTGTGTTTCTAGGTGTTAAGTATCGAAAGAAAAGGT